AAAGAGTTGTAAATGAGTTTAAAGAAGGGTGGAGTTTTCTGCTCTACACACTGTGGGCCTCTTGTTACTTGCTAGTTAAACTTCCTTTAAACACCACAGTAGCTGAGGTATTGTTGCTGATCCCTGATCCATCCCTGTATGAACACAGTATGCCCACCTTCTGAGGGCTGCTTCCCACATAATAACATGTCATATTTCAAAGCTCAGATCATCCTAAATTTGTTTTCTTGAATATGACACTGATTTCACTGTACCCAAATGGCCTCCACAGTCACCAGATCTCAATCGAATAGAGTAACTATGGGAATGCAGGAGAACAGAACTTTGCATTACAAATATGTAGCCGGGAAATCTGGAGAAACTGTGATGATATCACGGGAGTGCAAACCAAAATGTTTCCTGACGATTGTTGCCATCAAGAATTAAGTTCTGAAAGCAAAAGGACGTCCAAACTAGTACTACTGTGCCTAACACAGTGGCAAGCCAGTGAATGTAACTGCAGCTACACTTAATTAGCACTGTTTCAATACCTTTCCAAATGTTCAAGTGTTTATAAATTTGGATAATTACCCCTCTTTTCTTGATGGATTTTCTCAGAAGGCTGACCACATCCTGTCCTTCTACCCCACTTGACCTGAAGCCTTTAGTCCAAGACATCAAAACAGCCTGCAGATGGAAAAAAAAAACACAACAGGACAAGTCAATTAAAAAATAATTTCATGATATATTGCTCAGAGTCGTTACACCTCATCAACTCACACAACGATTGAGTGAATCAACCAAAGTGATTTACAAATCACCTAAAATCTGAAACACACTTCACCGCTGGCTGTAAGAGTCCCCGACTCAGGTGGCAACGCACACTGTGTTAATAATAACTTAACCTGACAACGACTAAATGCTAACTCTTCCCTGTAAAATGTGGACATTTAAAACAGCAAAGTAAATAAACAGCAGGTGGTTACTCTATAAATCAAAGATGAACATTTATCTTTTTATAAAGTTCCACGACACAGCCCGGTCTGGGACATGAAAGCTGCTCATTCTAACCAGCATTCATTCAGAGAAAAATTAATGAATATTATCAATAAGAAATTTCAAGCTGGAAGGATTATATTCAGCCCAGAGACAGTCCACCATGAAGACTTGTTCACAGTCCAAGCTGATGATGGATCAGTTTGATTTGTGTTGAGGTCATGTGTGAACATGACAGTGAACATGTTACCTCAGGTGACACATTC